ACTTACCGGATTGGAGACTTGGAGATCGTTGGGGTTGATACTTGGCGACATCACAGTTCGGACACCGGTTACATTTGGACTCTGTATCTCCGACATTGGTGACCTATGGTCCTCGACATTTTGATCTTGTTGGATGACATTTTGGACTACCATATCGGTGACCTATCAGATTCTATCTCGGTGACTTTCAGTGCTGTCTACCTGCCCCACCTCCTTCGTCTCTCCTCCCCCTTTCATTTGTGTATGTTGTGTACGGGGCTGAACATCTTCTCTGTATGGCTCAGACCCCACCATCTCACGATTGTATGTGTGTGGAGTGATGCTATGTGAGTCAGTCTATGTGAGTCAGTCCGTTTATCAGACTTCCGCTGCATACATGCTCATCCTATATTGGTTGATCTCTGGTTCTGCCCATACTCATCGAAGTATGCAACAGGAGTCCAGCTATGGCGCCCAGGTAAGTACCGCCTCAGCAGGTATGGCCTCCACCTCACCTCCTACCTATGCCTCTACACCCTAGCGCAGCGCTGTGTCGTGCTGCTCCAGCAGCGTTTCGGCCAAGAAGTGAGCTACTCGAACTGTGTGTCTGCCCTGGCACAGCTATAAGTAGCGCAGAGCCTAGCGGGTGTGCTCTGGTCCTTGGCCTGAAACGGACTGCCTGCGTCCCTACCGGACGTCCAGGACCCCCCTGCTGATGCAGCAGGGAGTGTCCGCTACTAGACAAACACAAACCTGGCCTGAATTGGCCTGACTGCGAACGACGAAGGCGCAAAACGTGGCCTTTGTCCGAACAGACTGAAAGTCTCTTCGGACAAACTGCAAGTCCGTAAGGACAAGTGGAACAGCAAATAAATAAATGAATGAATGAATGCTGCCTGAAATCGCATCCTGCAGGCCTAAGGCCGGCCGTGGGCCTCCAGGGCGCATGTCCGAAGGGCGTGCGGCCTGGGGTCCCTCAGCAACCGTCAGGCCCCCAAAATGGGGCCCGTGTGCAGGCTCAGCATGTAACAGTTGGCCACGTTCGTGTGGTTGAGCGCCAAGTGCCCACACACCCGTCTGCCGCCAAAGCGGCACTCTTGAACATATACATATGTATACATATATATTTCAAAGTCCATAAGGGGATGCAGGGCAGAAGGCAACTTACCTAAGGCAGAAGACTACTCCAGCAAGAAGGCACCGACCCTAACCCCTCATGGGTCCGATAAAACTTGGAGAGCCTTCCTCATCGGCCCACAAAACCAAAAACTCATTTACATAAAACAAACAAATATAACATCATTGGCATTCCCGAAGTTCATCTCACACTACACACTCTCATCACCGCCAAAGAGGAGAAAGAAGATAAGAGACAACTTAGCTAAGACAGAAGACTCCTCCAGCAAGAACGCACCGACCCCCCCCTGCTAAGGGTCCAAAAAAACTGGGAAATCCTTCCACACCGCCCCACAAAACATACATTCCCCCCAAAGAGAACTCGTGGCCACCCGTAAACATCCAAACAGCACATGCTCTAAAGCAGGGCAAAGAATGTGTGTGTGTGTGTGTGGGTGTGTGTGCGTGTGTGTGTGTGTGTGTGTGTGTGTGTGTGTGTGTGTGTGTGTGTGTGTGTGTGTGTGTGTTTGACTCTGTGTGTGTGTGTGTGTGTGTGTGTGTGTGTGTGTGTGT